ACAATTTAAAGGAATAGAGGTTTATTTGGCTCACATTTCAATGGATCCAGTCCGTGGTCAGCTGGCTCCAAGGTAAAAAATGTGGGAGAGGAAAGCTACTTATCACATGGAGGGCAGGAAACAGCAGAAAGGGAAGAACTGAGGACAAACACATAGCCTTCCAAGTCACACATCCAACGAGCCCACCCTTCTGATCAGGTCCTGCCTCTGAATGTGAGACTTTTAGGGGACATTTTAGATCTAAGCCATCATATTCCCTCCCTCCACCCAAGAGATTCATGTCCTAATTTTGCAAAAATGCATTTAGTTCTCCTTTCTAAGACCTGCCAAGGTCTTATCAGTTCCAACGCTGCTGAGAAGTTCAAGTCTGAAAACCTCCTCTGAGACTCAAGGCAAACTCTTAGCTGTGATCTCCTGTAAAATAAAAAAGAAAATTACATACTTCCAATATAGATACTTTCAGCAAATACTTCCAGCACAGGGTAAATGTTCCCATTCTGAAATGGAGAAATGGGAATAGAAAGATATTGGGCAAAAGCAAGACTGAAACCTAGCAGAGCAAATATTAATCCTTGAGCTGCAAGTCCAGCACCCAGGACAGGTTGTGGTGTGACACAAACTCCAGAGTGCTCAGGCGGTGATGGCACTATGATCTTGCTGGTTGCTGCCCACATGGCCTCTTGGTTGGGCTGGCTTAGCTCACTGTCTACAGCTTCCCTCAACAGATGATCCATATTTCTGGAATCTTCAACTTCCCAGTGTCTCCACTGCACCTCCAGCTTTATTCTTACAGTTTCATGCATCATATGCTCAAGGTCACCTAGCAGGGACTGTGACTCTGTCATATATTTTTACCTGGCCTCAAAGGCTGTCTTCCAAAAGCTGAATGGAAGCCACTATGACCCTAGAAGTCTTGCATTTTGTATGCCTAAAAAAACAGTATGGTGTGTATGATGTCAAAGTCTGCTAGATCAAGTGCAGCTTGGACCCTTTTTAGCATAGTGCAGTAGCCTCTGAGTACGTAGAAGCCTGGATTCAGCAATATACTTCTTTAGATGGTATTGAATGAGCGACTGTCCCAGAGACTCTCTTTTTAAGTAAAAAACTTACTTTTGTACCCTTGGGCCTGCAGTGGGTGGGAGCTTGCTGATTTCTGAGATACCTCAAGGCATCTCTTTTCTTTTTGCAGTACAAAGTGCTGTACTTGGCTTTTATTTATTTAATTATTTTCTTTTTGAGACAGGGTCTCACTATGCAGTTCAGGGTGGCCTTCAGCTCACTTTGTAGCCCAGGCTGGTCTTGAACTCTCAACAATCCTCCTGCTTCAGCCTCATGGGAGCTGGGATTACAGGTGAGTGTTGCCACATCTAGAGTTGGCTTCTTTTTAATGCTAATCTTTTCACAGCAACCATGTTCTTTGCCCCAACTCTGCAGGCATTTTCTTTCCAATGAAACTGCAAACTTTTTTAATCATTCAGCTCTGTTTGCTCTGGATTCTTACTTTAGATCTGGCTGAACCAGTTAGCAATACTTGTGTCACAGCCTAGGTGTTGCGCTGCCTTGAAATTTTCTCTGCCAGATTAATTAGCTCACTACCCATAACCTCAGTCTCCTGCAAAGTTTCAGGGCATGGGCAGTATAGTAAGTCCCCAGTTGATGAACATTTTAGTTGCAAACTTTCACAGGCAGTATAAGATTCACTTCATTAGTTTATGAATAAATCTAAATAATGAACAATTCTCCCAAAATGGAACTTGTTCATAAGTCAGGGACAATTTTTTTTTTTTGCCAAAATATAATATATATGGCCTCTAGTCCAATGGCCAATGGAGTCCTTGTTTCCAACTGAACCGTCCTGAGCCTGGCCTTTGATTTCTACAGTCCTATCAGCATTTCAGTGTTTAGAGCTCTGGCCAGTATCATATGTTCAGCACTGCTCACAATATTCTAGGGCTCCAAATTCTTCCTAGAAACCAGTTCTAAAGACTTCTGTCTTTTTTTTTTTTTTTCCAGAACCGGGGATTGAATTCAGGCCCTTGCACTTGCCAGGGAAGTACTTATTCCACTGAGCCATCTCCCCAGCCTCTCTAAAGACTTCTGGACCACATGAACAGGTACAGTCACAGCAACAGTCCAACTTCTGGTACCAATTTTATATATTAGTCACTTTGCCAGCACTGAGACAAAATACCTGGCTCTCACAACTTTAAAAAGAAGTTTATCTTGAATCAGCCTGTGGTCAGTAGGGTCCAAGGCAGAGATAGAAAAAAAGTATTCACCATATGGCAACCAGGAAGGGGAGAGAGAGAGAGAGAGAGAGAGAGAGAGAGAGAGAGAGAGAGAGAGAGA